ACAACATTAATATTGGGCTTTTTTTGTTTTCAATTTATTTGTACTGAAATATTTATATAAAATACTAACCAAGCAATAATTAAATTTGAGAGTGATTTAGCAGCAATTAATTGATTTTTTTTCTAAGAAAACGTGTTAATTAGATTTATTCAAAGATAAATATATATATTTCTACCTAGCGGAAACATAAAGTAAAAGCAAAAGAAAAAGGAAATTGTGACTTTCAAATTTATAAACTTAATTCATAAACCTTTATATATATATTACTGTAGATAATTACTTAAATAATATATATTCTTTTTAAATTGGGTTTTGACTGTGGTGGGCGCTGCTGATGATGAGCGCATCCGTAGCAATGTAGCAATATTTGGGTTGATTTGATTTTGTCACAATAATTGGTTTTCATAATATTTCATCTCAATCATCAAACCCTTTTAAAAAAAAATTATACCGAAAATACATGTTAAAATACCATTTTGTCCCTATTCTCGTTTAATCACTCTATTTGATTTGAGAAATAATTAAATATTTGGAAATATAAAGAGTGTTTAATATTATTTAAATTGAAAAAAAAAGTTGATTTGCATTTAAAACGTAGGAGAAAAAGGAAATTGTGAATTGGGCAATGAATGAAAGGGAAGAGGTTACGTCATCTAAAATTGTTTGGTTTTGGGTATTAAATGTTGCATTCAGAACATTTTTATGGGTGGCCATTAAATGCCATCAACTCTGTATGGTCCGCTCCGCTCTATTAAATCCAAATAATTATTTACAAAAATAAACCTAATAATAAAACAAACGAATTTATTATTAAAAAACAAAAGCGTTTTAGATTATTTGAAAAAAACGGATTTTTAAAAAGAAAAAATAAATAAAAGAGCATTAATTAAGGAGTTTTGAATGCTTGGTTTGGCAGGTACTCGTGTGTCCATTTCAATATTTGTCAATGTTTGACTAACCAACAACAACATTAAATGAATTGATTTATTTATCATTTATTTTTCTGATAGACACTCCCCTTCTCACATCCCCCAGATTGCCCCCTCACAATTTTACATTCATTTACTTTTTTTTTTATTTTTCACGTGAATGGACGATAGTATTATTTTATTATAAATTCATGATCATTATCTAAATTAGCCTGACGTGTGACTTTTCTCCAACAACTCCAACTTACAAAAATAAGTATATGTAGGGTGGCTAAGTCGAAGATTTGGGTTGGACCAACAATTGTGATGAGGGATTCGGGGTAGCACCCTCTCCTGTCTAACAAACATTGGCTATCCAAATCCAGAGTCAAAGGACTTTTCTTAAACCACACGGTCCTCTCAAACCACTTCATTTAATACATTCAATTCAGCTTTATATCTCAACCAATATTCAAATTTTGTAATTAAAATTAAAAAAACAAACGGAAATTAAATTAAAATTAAAAAAAAAAAAGAATATACGTGGCATGGAAATAAATCAGAAAAGGGAGGGAAAAAAAAGGGAAAATTTGGGAATTAAATTCACGGTGATAAAATAAGAAAGAGGGGAAAATGGCATTAAATGATGGAAAGAAGAGTAGTAGTAATTGTAAATTGGCATTTAATGGCACCAATTAATTGTCTTCCACTTTCCCATCATTAATCAAATTAGAATAATTAATTATAATTTTCACTCCCACCATTAATATCGTGAAAATTAATTAAATTACTTCATAACGTCGCTGCAATATTCACTGCATAACTATCCTCTTATATTTTTTTTTTTTGCTTATACCGCTCTCCGCACAAGTTACAACCCCCCAAACCACTCGCCCACCCACCCACCTCTCTGCTTCCTCTCTCTCTCTCTCTATCCTTCTCGTTTTTATCAGAACAAAAAACAAAACCCCTTCACAGGCCCTTCCGTTTCGTTTCCCTATAAAGCTCCAGAAAATGGCTGCCCAAGTCAGCACTCTGATTCGGGTACTCGCCGGCGGCGGAGGCGGAGGCTACAACGACGAAGATAACCGGACGCCCCTCGGTAATGGCCAGGAACCAACGCCTCTCGTTACTCGCGATTTGCTCGGCCAATCTTCCAACCTCGCCGCCTCTCAGGAATTGGACCTCGATTTGCAGGTTCCCTCCGGCTGGGAAAAAAGACTCGACTTGAAGGTTCCTTCTTTTAAAATCTTCTTTTCTTTTGTTTCATAATTTCAATTGCTTTCTGGAATTCAAGAACTCTATGATTCCCTTCACAAAAAAATTGTATTGTGATATGGGTTTTGTTTATGAAGTTCTGGAATTTTTTTTTCCTTCCCTTTTAATGACATTAATTGCTGCTTGGTACTCCTGAGTAATTACCCCCATCGTAGCCCTATTCAATTACCCCTCTCCTCTGAATTCATTAAATTTCGTTCCTATTTTTTAATTTTTTAATAAAAAGTAATTTCATTTCATTTGTGTTTGCAGTCGGGGAAAGTTTACATACAGAGAAGTCAAACACCGGATTCTCCTCTGAATTCAGATTCGAAACACCACCAAATGACAAACCAAACAGAGTCCAAATTCCAGGACTTGAATTTCCCCCCATCTCCTTCAAAACGAACATTAAATCTCTTCAATGAAACCAGCTTGGATTTGAAACTGACGTCGTCGCCGTCTCCGTCACCGTCTCCGTCGACCAATTACGCCAGTGTTTGCACTCTGGATAAGGTGAAATCCGCTCTGGAAAGGGCCGACAAGGAGCTCGTTAAAAAAAGGTCTTCGCTTTGGAAATCGACGTCGTCGCCGTCGTACTCGTCATCGTCGTCTGCGGCGGCGAAGGAAATTCAAGAAGAAGAAGAAGCGGTGGAAAACAGAAACGAGGCGGCAGTTTTGGCGGCGCCGATGGCGGTGGGTTGCCGTGGATGTTTATCTTATGTATTGGTAACGAAAAACAACCCGAGATGTCCTCGTTGCAATTCTGTTGTTCCGTTGGCGAGCATGAAGAAACCTCGGATTGATCTAAACATGTCTATATAAAATATCCAAAGGGAAAATTAAGAAATTTCCCCCATGGCCCTCTCCCTGGATCTTGTGTTTTGGGTATATGTAAAATGGACATATTCACACAAAATTATGGTTTCCATTATTCCATTCTCAATTCCTCCTCTGATGTCAAATTATTCAAACCCTATAGTTTCATTCGTAGCATACTATATATTATTAACATTCAAATCTATTAAATACATAAATGAATAAAATATAATTTCATACATTTAAAAAAAGAAGCGTGCATTTATAGATGGCGAGAAGGTGGGTTTAATCTTTAATGCCTGCTTGCTGCACTGCATGAGGCTAATTAATATATTTAATGGCACTTTAATTTTGTCATAGTTTGCCACCTACGTTTTTGTTTTATTTTTATTGCAATCTCCCTTTTTTATACATATAAATAAATTCGTATTATTGTTAGATTAGTAATGGAATTAATTTTTAATATAACATCTCCGGGGCTTTCTTGCCCTAATTTCACTCTTAAACTTTGTTGTTAATTAATCCAATTATGTGCGACTTTATGAACCTCGCCTCGCATTTATTGGCATTAAATTCTAAACTTATTTGGCTACGAAATCAACGTCAACACCCCCATTAATGGGCATGAGTTAATGAATTGATTTACGGTTGATTGTTTCAATTATTAATGATAATACATTAATTTCCTGTTATTATGGTGCAATAATATGATCTGCGATGGTTTCAAGTTTCACTTAATTACCGTAATCAAACATATATATATTTTTTATTTTATTTTCAGACTTTGTTTTATAGAAGGAAATATGAAAATCTTAAAACACGTGGGGTTTAAATTTAATGTTGAAATAAATGTTGAAAAAATTAGGTAAGTGGTAAGTAAGAGTGGATAATTTATTCGCCAAGGCCACCGCATCATCGCCTACTTTTTATCTATTTACAGCTTCATATTTCAACGACAATAATAATAGGGAAATAAACAAAAATTACAGTACTATTATTTCTTTATTTTTATTACATAGCTACACCTGTTTATTTTCAATGTTTCCAATATACGCTGTATCAATTTTGATAATAATTTTAAAATTTTATTAAATTACCCACCTAATTAGATAAACGGACGAACTAGCAAAAATTGAATTGTTGTTGCAACATTTGTTTTTAAGTTTATGATTTTTGAGTTTTCTTATTTTTCAGCATTGAATTTACTAATTAATTTTTATTGGTCCTAGTGGTTATTTCCTTCCCATTATTTTTTACATTTTTGGTTATTTTTTACTCACAAGTGTAATGGACCTCCCCAGCACGACAGGTTTTCCACATACGAGAGGTTGTTAACTCAGGTATTGAAACTGCCGCACTCCCTGATAGTTGACGATGCCCTTGCAAGGTTGAAACCGAGTGTACTGCCCCTTACTTGTTTGACCACAATTGGGGCACGGTCTTGGGTGCTGGGTTCAGAGAATTGAGTAGGAATTTCATGAGAATGCACCAAAAGCCTGGGGTACCAAGATTGAGCTTGCGTGTGGGATCTCTTATAGTTCCGAGAACCTACAAAATGGGTAGAGAGTTGTGTGGTTGTGGTGGTGTTGCAGTGGTAGTTGAAGGAAATAAAGTGGGAGCATTCAATGTTATTTATGAACAACACCAGAATTTAATGTTGGGAATTGACAATTACGATTACGAGAATGCCTTTCACGTCAATTCCCAACATTAATTCACCATTCCCACCCTTTTCTCTTCCATCTAATTATTTTATTATTTTACAATTTCCGATTCCATCTTATATTATATTATTATATAAATATTAACCTAAACTTTTTAAATTATAACCTCAATCAACTATATAATTTACCATTAATTTTTATACCACAAAATTAATTAAATTATAATCATTTTGAATAGGTCAATACAAAATTAATAAATAAAAATTAAACTAAAAAAGCAAGTATAATATTTTAAAATTTAGATATTAATTTTTATCGTTATTATTCTTTCAAAACCCCATTTCACGTTCGGGCATCCCTCTTACGCATTATCAGCCACCACAGTTCGACCCGCGCCACCCCGCACACTGCAGGTCCTTCCTTCCCGAAGCTGTCTCAGTCGCCGCCGCAGACTGCACTCTCAACCTTCCGATGAAGTCACCGCTGCCTCCTTCCTCTCCCTCTATTTCAGAAACACAGTGGTGCAGCCCCTTACCCGCGTCGGGTTTTACTTCTTGTTTTTGTTTTGTCCGCTTGGCTTATGTTGGTTTATTCACTCTTCACCCGCGGAGAAGAAAATAAATATAATTTTTTTTCTTCCACCAATGTTCAACGAGTGTAAATGAAAAACATAAACAATAAGAGTGTGTTCCTCACAAATTACAAAAAAATGATTCAATCAATCAATAAAATGCAAACCACGACTGATTTCAAATTTTTTGCGCCTTTTTTTGATCCAGACACTTGAACAGATTTGAACTCCTTACAAATTCTGGAATTCCGTCAGGGTTAATCTCTCACTACTCAATGTGAGGCTTTCATTCCGCCTTATCGATGGGGAAGAAACGTAATAACGAGAAACAGAAGGTCATTCTACCGCCGGAGCTTCCACCAGAGGTTACCGAGGAAGAGATTGAGGTCTCCGATGAGGATTTGCAGTTTGTCAAGGAGAACCAAGACTATGCCGTCTCTGTTATTCGTCTATACACTAAATCCATTGCCAAGTTTGTATTCAATTTTGATTAGCTACTTTTCGAATTGTGTTTTTTATTTGCACCTGATGATAAGCAAAAACATCCGATGCAGTATGCACCTGAAGATGGTGGGAACGAAGAGGCAATGGAAGAGGGCGGCGTAGATAATGGTATAGTGAAGTAAACTAAACCAGAAAGGAGGGTAAAGCTGAAGAAAACTAAAAACAAGAGAATGTAACCAAAGCTGAAGAAGTTGAACCAACCCCACAAACAGCTGTTTTGGTATTCGTCTGCGATTTCACTCTCCTTCTCCTTTATAGCACTGTTGCATGAAATAATGTCAGTAGTTTTTTCATGAAAAAGATATGGAAATTAACTCAACTCGTGGGCTTGTTAAGCTGGTAGACAAGAAAACTCTTTGGCTTCGGCCTGCTTGTCTGACTAGCTCTTAATACAATAGGAAAATGTTCGTATAATATCCTATTCCTGGGGTTGTTTCAAGTTGAAAACCATCTTTCACTGAGTTGAAATTTGAAAAAAAGTGGCCACAAAAAGCCACGGCCACAATCACGTGGCTACTGAAAAAACCAAATACACGGAGCCAAAATTGCTAGTAATAAAAACAAAGGGAAGTTCCTGAAAGAATCATTACAAGTAACATTGGACTGTTCATGGGGATATCCTTAACATAATTGTGCATTTCTTAGTTTGTACATCTGTTCTGTTCCTGGTTTTGAAAATGTGAACGTGTTTTCTGCAAATCCTGGTTTTTTTTTCCTATCTGCCTAGAATATGGTCCAACATTTATTCTCAAATGATATATTTGGATTGGCAGAAAACTCTGTAGTGGTGCTATCAAGTATTTATAGCACTATGGAGGCTGTCCGGTTGATTGCTGATCAAGTGAAATTTCATGACTGCCAATTGACTCCTGATTCCATCCAGGTTTGAATTCTCATTCTTACACCTTTTTTTTTAAGCATATGAGGCTCATGCTTTCTTATAGAAGTTTATGCCTTGATGCGAACATATTGAAGCTAAGTTTTTACTGCTCTTGTAGTTGTTAGAGAAGTAATACAGTCTATTTTCAGAATGTTAGACATCCACTTCTTTGATTCCCCTTTTTCTTGGGTTGTTTTTTCTTTTTTGTTTGTTTTGTGACTCGTGGTTTTTTTTCTTGGGCTGTTTTGACTGCTCATGTTTTTTTTTTTTTGTTTTCTTGGGCTGGTTTGATGACACAAGGATCAAATGTGCTTGAAGCCTAGTTATAGAAAAATGTGCTTGAAACCTATATCATGAGTTGTTTCCAGATATTAAATTATTTTTAATTTTCAATTGTTCATCCTAAGGCATGCGAATGGACTCATTTGTTGTTGAAATGGAACTTTGAAGTGCAGTCTATTTCTTTAGGTTTAGGTTTTTTTTTCTCACAAAGTTTCCTGTTCGCAACTTTTACCAGCCTTTCGTGCATCTAACATTTGACGAGCATCTGAGAAAAGAAGAAAAGCAAGATGAGCATAATAAAGTAAAGAACAAAAAACACAGGAAAACAAAAAATCATGAGGAATCAAGTCATTTGCAAGGGAATGATGGAAGACAAAGTACGAGGACAAAGTTTACTGAAGAGGTGTTACTTTTGCCTATTATTTTCTTTTTTCCCTTTCTCAATTGATTAAGCATCTTTTTAGTTGGTAATGGATGAATGTTTGTGATGTTTCTCATTGGTTGCTTCGAATTACAGGGCTGCTTCTCTTGCTTCAGATGTGATGAAGCAAAGAGAGATGCAGTCAGATACACTTTCTGCTGTATTTGAAATCTCAAGGCATACAATGCAGTCATTAAATGCTAGGTAAGTTATTATTATTTAGAGCTTGCACGTTGTTTGTATTGCGTTTGTTTGTGTTTTCTTCAAACAATTCGGTCTTACCATGAAGAAAATATGAAGAAAGATTGGTGTTTTACTTTTTCTGAAAAAGGGTACATAACTAAACAAGAGCATACCATACCATTTGTATTTTTCAGTTCAGTTCCTTTTTTTTAAGCTTGATGCTAATGGGAAACTACTCTTAAAAGTTAAATCAATTTATCCTTGTATATACCCCAGATAGGGAGGATCCCTCTTTTGGCTCGAGTCTTTGACTGGATGTTGGTGTAGGGATACTGGTCTGCTTGAACTGTCCTTAAGCTTGAAAATTTGAATTTAAATTTGATCACAGACATGTTGATTAATGAAAGCTTTGGTATCTTTGTATTATTTGTCTTCATGGATTTTCAATTGTTTTTCAATGTATTTTTCTTCTGACGCAACTCAGACTGCTGAACCAAGTATCTTTCATTTATTATGAAGGCCTGAAGCAAATATTACTGCACCTACTACTAGCCCATCTGGATCCCATCCTCTGCTTTCTCCATGTTTGAATGGGTTGGGGAAATTCTCCCATCTCATTGATTTAGATTTCATGGGAGATCTTATGAATTATCTAAAAAGGCTTGCATCGGGTGGTGATAATTCTTCTGAGAAACAGTCACAATGTTTGACCGTTTCTGAGCGTCTTCAGTGTTGCTTTGCGCATTTAAAGTAACGAGGAAAAACCTTGATGCTATGAATGTTGATCCTCAGGACTTTTCTGTCCAGCTGTACAATATTGTACTCGAGTACAGGCCTGTAAGGTTAGTGCTGAACTCTAAACTAGAATGTTAAAATTGTTGCTGGTTCTTTTAAAAGCAAGCCTGGTTAATGTTTGTTCCAAGGATTGTTTTAATATTTATGCTCTTCATTACAACAAATTCTCTGATAACCTAATCTTGGGAAGAATTTCTGATGTTACACTGGGATTCATCACCAAGCATCCAGTCGTTATGTGAACCTCAGATTAAAGCTTTCAAGTTTATAAGAATTCTTGGACATTACTTGCTTATCCCCATGTAAACCATAACAATTTTGATTTTAATTTTTAGGGTAAGTTCATTTGTGGGCAGTCTGGTGCACATGCCTTGGGGTCCTTGTTATGATGTAATTTTAATACCTTGTTCCCTGGATATTATGATTGTTTATCACTAAGGGTGAGACTACATTAATATTTATAGTTTCTACTACTCATCTGCCATCTGCTATCATTTATGTTTTATTATTATTATTTTTGAATGGGTAACATTCAAGTTTCACTCACAGAGACCATGGTGGATTGTTAGCTGAAGCTTTGAAGATAATGTTGTGCGATAATAGACAGCATGCCATGCAGAAGGCAGCTGCATTTATTAAGCGTTTGGCTACTTTCTCATTATGCTTTGAATCTGCAGAGTCGTTGGCAGGTATATTAAAATTCCTTTTAGTTTTGATGACTTTTATTTAACCGTGAATTTGTGTGGCTATTTACTGCCTTGGTCACCGTAAAGCATCTTCTTCAGAAAAATGTCAAGTGCCGCAACCTTTTGGAAAACGATTCTTGGGGAGGTTCAGTGTCTGGCTCAATTGCGGTAAGGTTTCGTTGTAACTAGTTGAGATATATGACAGCTTTGCATGATGTTTATCTCTCCCGTATTTCACGAACACGAGAAAACAAAAAATCACCTAGCTTTTCTGCTATGACATGTTTAGAACGACTTTTTCAAGTGAAAAAAAGTATTATAAGCATTTAGAAAGTCGGTCAAATTAGGCGATTTCGTAACGGCCTGTGAAATTGAGCTTATTGATTCAATATCAGACATCCTTCTTCCCACCTCAACCTACTCACAGGAGGAAAGAGATAAACTAATTTTTGCTGATTTGATATGCAGAAATACTAGCCATATGCTTCTGATCCAACTTTGAGCGGTGCTCTTGCTTCTGTCCTTTGGGAACTTAATCTTCTGTGGAAGCATTATCATCCAGCTGTCTCAAAGATGTCAACGAGCATATCAAGCATGAATAGTGCTCAAAACCAAGTGTACATCTCCACGGTTTCTCCCCAACAGGCATTCAAAGACTTGTCGCTGGAATAGGAGTCTTTCAACCCAAAATTTAATGTCCGAAAAGTTGAAAAGAAAAAAAGAGCTAGCGAAGTGAAGGAGAAACTTTCAACAAGATTCTTTCTTCTCCGGGACATCAAGGACAATGAAAGGCTGAGAGGTGAATTGGACCGTACCACTTTGTCTTTGCAGCGATATGAAGAACACAAAAGGCAAAAGAGAAAAACTAAAAGATCAAGGTATGTTTAACTTTGTTATTTGTGATTTCTTGGTGTTAAAATCTTCATGGTTGCAAGAAATGTAGATTAATTAAGCTGAGAGGAAATGTGTAGTTCATACTATGGAAATAGAATAGAATTGATAGATATATATATATATATATATATATATATAATTTTATTGAATCCGTCAAAGTTTGATCGCATTAAGTCTTCACCAAATGATTGTCTCGGATCATACGCACAACTCATTAAATAGATCGTCCAACCTACAGCAGCATCAGCAGCATGTCAATCAATGCCCAACTTTAATTTCTTGGTATAGTACTGATAGCCCTTTTCTTCCCTTGGGAATAAACAATATATTTACAAATAAATGTAAGGCATGTGAGTGTCTTCAGAACCCACATGGGGCTTCTCTGTATTATCTGCCTCTTCTCTCGGATCTTGGGAGATCATTTCGCTGTTAAAGTATTAAGATTTTCCTCAGCATAAATACCTTGGGCTCCTCGAAATAGATGACCACAAGCCATATTCATCACAATAAACTAGAAACCAAAGAAAACCATATGATATCATGTCGACCACTAGAGATATATGGCTCCTTGAGCTTGAAAGGAAACCACGAACGAGTCCTTTTTATAGGCATGTTTGGTTGTCGTGAACAAAGATTTGAGTTTGGTCTAGACTCTCTCAAGTTTCTAAAGAATCAATGACAGGGTCATTTTGTTTTGGAGCGAAAAGGATGACAATGATGAGCAAAAACGAAACCATAGTACACCCACCATGTGAAATACCAGCGCAAATCAAGGGATTCATTGTCAAACTATAATAAATAAGTATCCGTCCTGTTGTTGGCAGTTTTTTTTCTTTTGGGCTCATTATATTTTCAACATATAATATTTGGGAATCAAATTTATAATCACTTTGGTGGCTTCCAATCATTTCTCTCTATTCCCTTTTGCGTGTAACGTGACTTGTTTGGAACCTTAGCACGCTTACATTATTTATGCTCTTAATAATGTCCTCTCTGCATTATTATTATTTTGCTACAATCGATGTGACTTCTCATCCAATCATTCATTTTCCCTAAGCTTTCCATGAGTGTGTGAATGCAGAGAATATGGGTTTTAAGTTATATTGTTGACAAATGTATGTACGAGGGGTTAAGATATAATATAATATAGTTTTAATCATATTATAAACACATCACAAGGTTTTGACCCATCAAAGCTTATACTAAATGAAATGTGGGTGATAAAGAATTAGTAACATGATTAAGGCATATGGCATTCATAATGTAAGCTCTTTGTCCTTTCTAACTGAAATTTAAAACTACATTGCCAATCCCTCCTCCCACTAACTAACATATGATAAAAAAAAAAAAAAAAAAAAAAAAAAATAATAAT